TCGCTATTCAAAAATCAATTATTCCCCCAAAAATCCCTACCAAACAAGCACTAAATGTATTTCATATACAACATCAAAATATAGGATACAACTTGTTATATTGCAACATCAAAATATAGGATGCTGTAATTACAAAATCAAAAGATATCAGTCACTCCTAGTTATATTACACTACCAAAATATGTCTCCCAAAAGTAAAAAAACAGCACCCAGTGCACTGGACGCTTCATGATGTTTCATTGCAAACTTGTTATAACTTTCATGTTGTCTTGTGTCCCAATTGCTTGAGGTGGTAGAGAAGATGATAAGCTCATCAATTGATCATCCTCTACTGGCAAGTTTTTTGACACATTGTCTTTTGACAAAGTAGGCCTATTCTTACGACCCCTTGATTTTTTCTTTGTCGTCTCCAACGAACTTTTTGTACGTAATTTCTTTGGAGCGCCTTTACATTTTGTACACTTTGGATCGAAAATGTTGAAGCTTTCTGCATTGCCTCCTCCAAAGTCATGCTGCTTCGAACATTCTTCATCAGCTACAACCAAGTCTGCCATCTTGATTAAAGCATCACACAAATGTTGGTATCTCAACTGCTCAGGAGTACTCACCAAACCATCATATGTTGTTGCAACCCTCGTGTATGGTCTACTTACATCTCTCATCCGCCTCCTTAAAATATACTTCTCGGGAAGTAATGACACCTCGTTCCGAATTAAAACAGAATTAGCGTGTTTGCAAATGATACCTCGAAACTCGAACAAATGACAGTTACACACAACCTCGCAATCGTCTCTACAAAAAGAAACCTTCAATATTTTTGTCTTCCTTCCTTCATTAAGGATGATATCTTTACGTACTTTGTACTTCTTTACCCCGCAAAACTCCTCCGTAGATAGTACTTCACAGTAAACCTTGCCAGTGAATTCCTTTTGAAACTCTCTGAATTTCGAGATTGTGTAAACATCTTGAAACTGCTTCTCCATCCCATACTTTGTAGCACAGGGAACCATTTATGAGAATGACCTAAAATCAGTTTGGAATTCCTTCTCAACTTTACATCTCAAAGCCCGCTCGTATTGCTCTACAAATAACTTTAAAGTTGTCTTGGAGTGTACATAGCCGTCATCACCCTTCTTGGAGTTTCTTTTCCTAACTAGAAACCCTATTTCATAAGCATAGTTCTTATAGAATTCAAACAACTCCTTCTCGCTGTCAAATTTCATACCCACCTTCGGAACAGGAAAATCATTTTCTACTCGTAACATATCATCACCCAAACAATCCTCGCCCACAACCTCCGATGAGTGAACCTCCATTCTTGTGTAAAAGCCTCAAAATTGTTTTTTCCGTGACTAATAAGCTGAAGGAAATATGCAAGTCATTTTCTAACATCTAATTAACTGAAATTTCATTTCAATTCCAAATATTGCATTCTTATTGAAAAAGCAATCAGTTTTACCACTCTGCAAAGATCCTTCTACCATGTTGAAGGACACATGTTCAGTTTGTTGGTAACTCTGAATCTGCTTATCTGTAGGAGAGGAAGAAGATGAAGAAAAACATATAAATGTGTGTCAACATATCTTCAATACGCATATAGGCTGAAAAATTTCAAAAAAATAACATAGATAAGCAACCAAAATTATCTCACCATTGTTGCAGTACCCGCCGCAGTCGTCGTCGCCAGTTTCCCCGTCACCACATTCGACTACTCCGGCGTCCATATCAAAAAGTGTCATCAAAACTTATTGCTTCTTCTGTCGACGATTTGGGCTGGAAGACGGAGATCCACAAGGTTTGAAATGGAAAAAAAATGGAAAGATTTGATTCGGTTGATTTTGTCCGGGAGAGGTGATTCGAAGGGGACTTAGGGGAGGCCGGGAGGGTGATTCGAAATGGAAAGAATTGGGATTTTTCCCTCCGGGTAAGGGTTTCCCCTTTTTGAGGGTGGCTTTTCCAAATTTTTTGTCCTTTTTTTTTTTTAATAAAGTTTGAANATTTATAACTCCTATCAAGATTATGCCTCTTGCACACTTTCTTTCATTATTTATACGATTCCAAAAACTCGCTAACTATTCTTTAGAAATGTCTAAAATATTTTATGACTAATGGATTTCAAACAATGATACTCACAGCTGTTGTTAGAACAAATCATTTTTTGCCTCTTGAGCTTAATTGGTGGCATGCCAAGTTCTCAAGGCGCTTTGCAGAAGAATATTTTATCACCGAAAAGAGAAAAGATGTGAAGTGGAAGACTCATTTGCCCCTAAAAATAATGGATGAACTGAGACTCCAAAATTCTTTTTTTTCGTAATAGCTATGCTCTGAGCGTGTAGAGGAGATTGAAGAGTACACTCTTATTCTATCCCTACTTGTATAACATCATTGAACTTTTTGTCCAAATTAGTATGCTAAAGTTCGTATAAACCTTTTATGAAGGGTAAGCTCTTATTCTATCCTGTTTTTCTTTCCAATAAATTTTGGAAAAAAAAAAACAAAAATAAATCACA